CGGCCTCCTCAGCGCTCCTACTCGGGTGAGAACACAGCGAGCACCATAGCGCGCTCCTGTGCAAGCCTCGCCCTGTCGCTGCTCGTCTCCGTGCTCGTGGTGTGGCAGCGGGACAGTCTGACCCACATCCTGTTGGCACTGCGGGCCGGCCTCCCGGGCTCCCCCGCCGCAGACGACTCCCAGGCCATCCAGTTCCACTCCGGGCTCGGTCTGGGCATGGTGCTGTCCACCCTGCTGCACCAGCGCCTCAGGTACAGTCTGCAGGAGGAGATTCTGATGTGAACCAACAGCGTAACGGTTACTGACTGCCTCTGTCCTCTGTCAGTGATGAGTCTGCTCAGAAGGATGCTGATCTCCTCTTCGGCCCTCTGGATGCTCTGGAAAGTTCCTCTTTCAACCCCAACCTGGAATACAAGTAGGTCCTCTTATGAATAGAGTAAATGCACACTGACATCACACGGTTGGTTTATGCTGCTGCTCGTTTGGCACATTTACTCTTTTTCACAGACACATCTGGAAGCATGTTAGGATATTCAACAGTGAAACAGGGGTTAGCATGTTAAACGTGGTCTCTCCATGTTCTGCCTTCTTTCCTCAGCACTGGCTGCATACTGGGTCTGGGGCTAGTGCTGTCTGCCCTCTGCAGCAGTGGACAGAGGAGTCGACACGTCCGTGTCAGCCTAACGCTCGACAAGCTGCTGGCCAACCTGCAGGACTGCAGTGGGCGGGGACGCATGGAGCAGGAGGTAAGCACCCTGCACACGGCTCGCACGCCGACACAGAGCGAGGTCCTGAATCTGATACAGGATCAAGTCTTTGATTGTACCTGTCTGCTCACACACGCTTGTGATAGAAGAAGCTGAGATAGTACTTAGTTCTGTCCAGATCTTTGATGAATTATCTACTAAAGACAGTTTCTGCTACATGAAGAGTTAAAACTTTGAGCCTGATGGTGATGTGTGAACTTTGACCTGTGACCTCGAAGCACTAAAATGGTGCATCTTATGATCTTTACTGTACGACTGGAACAGATTCGGCTTGTATAAGCTGTAAAAACGTGTCGTCGTGACCTTGTAGAGCAAATAAAAAGTGTAACACAGATAAGCTTTGTTTACAGCTGTCCAAGGTGGAGACGTTGCTCGGCCAGTGTGGGGTGAAGGCTGAAAACTGTGTGCCGTATAAAGCTTTCACTGACCTCCACGTGTGGTGTGTGTGTGTGTGTGTGTGTGTGTGCAGGTCTTGGCGTACTCTGTGGCGTGCGTGAGCGTTTCAGCGTTCAGCGCAGGTCTTATTGACGCCGCCAAGGCGGAGGAGGTGATGGACACGCTGCGCAGCCTGACTGAGGAGAGCCAGCAGGTCAGTAGGTACCTGATGGGGGTCATTCTGGCTCCAGCAGCTCTTTGTGGTTTTATTGATGACCCTGTGTCCCCAGACCCCGGGCTTCTCCCTGGCTCTGGGGTTAGCGGTCCACGGGCTGTCGGTGTGCGGCCACGGCAAAGCAGAGCACATCCACCCTCACCTGCTCGCAGCCTGGATCAAAATCTTACTGGCTGAGGTACAAAACCTGACGTTCATGTTCATGTAAACGATGTCCAATCACGTGAAATGATGTTTGGGGTCCCAGCGCTGACCTCCGTGCTGCCTTCGTTTACAGGGCTGTCCCACCATGCAGCGGCTGGCTGCTGTCAACGGGCTGGTGGCTTTGGTGGGGTCAGAGAGTTACCTCATTCAGGTGAGACGCCTGCAGCTGAGCAGCATCAGCATGTGCTTCACTCAGTCCCTGAAAACATGTCGTCACCTGCTGCTGTTTCTCAGGATGTTTGTTTGGTGGTTTCAAGCATGTGGAGCCATAGAGCATCCAGCTCATGTGACCCTGTAAGGTTTTAGGAATCACCATGGTTACCATAGGAACACACTGGCAAACCCAGCATTTAAAAAGATGTGACAGAAGTGCAGATGTGTGTCTCATGTGAAGTGTCCCCGTGTTCACAACGAGATGCAGACACACCTTAGTTGCAGCTAAAGTTACCGACTGATGCTGATTCTCCTCTGATGCAGCTGAAGAGTGAGACGGAGCTCGTGTCCAAGCAGCACAACAGGCTGAATGAAGTTATTCGGGCCGTCACACAGGTCAGAGTTTACTTATCAAATATGACTTCACTCCCATTACTACACACCGTACTTCCCCTCGCCTCACCTCGGAGCGTCTGTTTCATCCTGTTGTCGGCTCTCTGGGTGCAGATCGTCACGTTCTCTGGAGCCATCGGTTTGCAGTCCAACAGCGCCTGCTTGCTGGGACATTTGCATCTGGCCCACATCTGCAGCAGTCACAGTCACACAGCAGGTAACACAGGTGTCAGTGGGCGGAGCAGAGCTGGATGCAGCGTTAGTGAGAATGACACACACACACAC